AACGGCTTTCCTCTGTTCTTTATCCATCACCACAATGTCCGGTTGGTTCGCCATTACCATCTTGTCTGTCTGGATCTGGAAGTCCCACAGGATCTTAGCTCGGTCATTCTCCACCACTTTTGGGGTTGTTCCCCATTTTGATCTCGGGGCTTCCAGTCCATATTCTGCACAGATGTTTCTGTACACTATGCCCGCCACTTGGTTATGTCGTTCCATGTACGCTTTCCCTGCCAGCATCTTGCACCCTGCTGTTATGTGCTGGACTGTCTCAGAGGCCTCCTTGCACAACCTACACCTTGGGTCTTGTCTGGTGTGGTAGATCTGAGCCTCTATTGCTCTGGTGTTTATGTCTAAATATATATCAGTGACATGCGGTGAGGTTCATTGCTGGTGAGGCACTGACTTACGACTTACAGACACCATGAATGTTATTGGACGCTGGGGGACAAAAAGACTAATCTTTTACATGTCATCCATAGCCGCGTTAACTCAGTGAAACTTAGAAATGTAGGTATTAATTTCGTGCTATGATCCACAGCAAAGTGATCTGTATTCGTCAAGTTACGCAGACTCATTGCCATAGCAACTGACAACAATGCCACTTCATGTTTTAGGATTTAACACCAAAAAAAACATTCAAGAAATTTGCACACAGAACAGAACATTCAGTCTGTTGTTGTAGTACGTTTTAGGCTTAATGTTTAATTAATAAATAATTGTTGTGGTAGATTAGCTACCGCTTCTACTTTACAGAATTATTTAGACATACAAACTGTAGCCCACAAAACGCACATTTCATTAAAAAAATTTAACAAAAACATCTTATTGCTGTCTTACCTTTACGTATCGATGAAATCCATGCACCGCTAATTCTGCACAAAAATATCCGTTCATCCAAAGCCAAGTCTATCCTCAGCATATCCTTTCTACTCCGTTTAAGAATCATCAAACTGTCTCGAAGCAAAACTTTCAGCTCCGGTGTTGGTCTTCCTTTAGTTATTATCTCCAGGAGTTGAAAATCCACTTTAGAAAACTGTTTAACTGTAGAAATGTAGTCTTTCATGTTGACGTCGGACGAGAGAAGAAAACAAATATATCGCTGTACTTTACTTATTTACTGTACGGCTAGATCCATGGCTAGCTCACTGTGTCTTACTCTGCAGTTGTGCAGTCACAATGTCTGGGATCATGAACGCCCCCTACCATGAGGCAAGAGAACTGCCTGCCTCCCCTGGAGTCAGTTTTCTGCCCTTTCTGATCGCTCCTCCGCACACAAAACACGATACACACACAGTTGGTGACAAAAAACACTGTACATTATATATATAAGCGAAATTATGGAAAATCAGTTCATTTATTAAATGTTTTTTAGCCATTTTATTGCTGGCGTACAGACAGGACGAATATGCTCTCATAGAATGGCAGCCAGTGCAGTTAGCGAGAGGTTGCGCAATCCCAGGTGAGGCTCAGCTCGCTGCTGCCTCACCGGCTTCGCTTCTGAGCATTTGAATGGGAAAATGCGACAATCCAGCGATTTTAAGAAAAAATCATCAGAACTGGTTAAGCTAAGTAAAAAATAGGTACTTTATAGTACAAACCACAGGGTGAAAATAGATAAATATATAAATAAA